CTGGTTAACTGCCAGTTAACAATATAAGTCGAAAACACACTACGTGCGGTGCTTTACGTATAAAACTCTGTAGCAACACGTTCACAGTTGGACGGTATAGTGTGTGCGACCGATTTAATGAGCCACAAATGTGAAGTAGTGCTTAAACAGTACAAAACTACAACTTTCGCTTCTGTTAATAAAAGGCTCAACCATCTTGAACTCGGGATCCTCTGTGCTGCTCCGGGATCTCCTAGAAACGTGAGCACACATGTCGTCACTTCCGGCTTCAAAACTCGGAGTCCGACTCGGAATACGAGTTCCCAGGGCAAATGGAACGCACGAAAATTGCCCGAAATGGGTTGACAGAGACATTTCAGGGATTTTGAGTCATTCTGCGCTGCAGATGGATTAATTGCGTTAAAAATTTAAATCAGATTAATCATGATGATGGATTAATTCGCGTTAACCCGTTAATTTTGACAGCCCTACTAATTAGAGGACTGATTGGCTGAAAAGTCCTCATACCTGGTTTTGAACAACTGACCTAAAGGTTACCCCAAAAACCTGCACTTTGTGGATAAGATTGGCCACTGCTGCACTAGAGCCTATGAACAGGGGAAAGCCTTTTGCTACTTTTAAGGTGCAACTCAAGGACATACATACACATGCATCCCTGAAGAACACAATGGTGTATAAATCTTTACTCTTGTTATACATATTGCATTCATGCTTTAATATCCACTTCCTATGGAATCAGAAATGCTATACCCAAAAAGAAGGAACTACCCAAATTAAGTGAATTCAGTCTGACTTCTGTCTTCCAAGAAAGATTTTAATATTTAATTTCTTACTGTGACAGGGACACTGCAACTGTCCTGTAATGTAACAGGCAAACAGCTTTATTTCTCCAGAGCCATTGTACTGTATCTATATGGACCTTAAATGGTCTAAATAAGGCACTAATGTTTGTACTAATGTACAAACTAATGTGCGTATTAATGTACTAACGTAATGAAGATCAACGAAACATGCAGCACTCTGGCCTCGGATGACCAGAAGTATGCACTCTTGTCATGGTACCAGGTGCTCCACTTAAGCACAGCTCTTGAGAGCAGACTGCTGGAGTGACCAAGCTTCAGGTTGCGCGAGGCATGAATTCAAACTGTGACAGCCCACATGGCTGCCTAACACGTGGCACAAAACACGCCACAATTTCCATTCGAACAGCCATTCGCCCACATCTCAACAGGATGTGGGAGCAGAGAGACTGACAAACTGATAGGTGATCTCAGCAGTTTCTGAGATGGCATCACTCATTAGTCATGTGCAGGTTAGTCAGGTAAAGCTAGCTGTGTATAAACACCTGAAACTTTGGTTAGCTGTCTAACTGTTACTATTATTCAAATGGAGCATAAAATATTAATTTAAATGCCACAGCACTATACAGTCAATCAGATAAAATGACACTATCTGGTCTCATTTCATAATGAGTGACTGCAATCTTCATTGATATGAGGTCAACTTCACAACAACACACAGTACAGCAACAGTTCTGGCTCACTGCCAGTCACTGCATTAATTATATCATTTAACCAGCCACACAGATTAGTTGGTGGTCCTTGTCAGACTGTCTTCTTACTTAAGGACTTTTCCAAAGAAGCTACCTTTCAGAGACTAGAAACCAAGACAAAATTCTGAAATAATAACCAAGTACTTAAAAATTTTAATTAGCTATATGCAATGATAAACTATAACCTGATACAGTCAACTTTCCTTAACTAAATACATTAGCAAACCTATAAAATTATTTTGAAATTACTTATCTAGTAGAAGCGATAGATGTTTTTCTGGTCCACGGGGGGGGGGGGAATAAATAAATAATATAAGATTTATTTATTTTCGTGTGTTTCATGTCAAGTCTTGCTACAGTTGTACAGAAACAATATTAACAGCTTGCGGTGAAGAGCAAGACTCAGTTCTGACAATTAAGCTGGCCGTCCGGAGCCAGTCGAGTCTTAAGAACTTGCTTCAAAGCGGTTCACGTCTTGTTTATAATTACTTTTATCAGCGTATACAATAAAATAAATGACATTAACGAAAATTATTAAATAATCCAGAGTTAAAAGCTTACTTTTCCAACATTAGAAACGTCTCCTGTCGCCGTACAGCAGACACCGTCGTCCGTTAGCGCCGCGCACGAGCCCGGACCGCGCCACAGCCCGTTAGAACAGGAATGCCCACGAGACCACGTTCGCTCCCGCGCCTTTTATATGGAATATGCTCGTATGGTCCGTGTCTCCGACTTAAACAAATGCAACAGCTTTGCAACCCCGAAATGACCTTCTACAGTTTTTGGAGCAACAGTGTTAAAACAGGCCGGCATAACAATTAACTGTGAAATCGTGACGCACAGTGGCATATTATTACTTACGCTCAATATAAAATCAGCAGAAAAACACTTACCAACCAGACCTTTCACTTCACTGACGGTAAAATCTGGATCTGGCATTCTAGGGTAAAGAACATAGCAAAGGGAATATGCATAATATATTTTCCGCATGCAAAAACATGGCAGGCCAGAACACGCATTATGGATTCGTTTAAGTCATTTTAGACTATGAACAAATTGTTAAATTTGTTTACCTGATTCCCAAACCATCTTTGGCTTTAAAAATAAGGGGAATTCTGAGAGCTTCTCTTTGCACATATTCGTAGGTAAAATCTGCGAAACAAATCATGACAGCGTGAAACGTAAATAATTAAAAGCAATGTACAATCAATTTGGTTTTATTTTTTTTTATAACGATCAACAATTTGCCATAATCACGGTAAAGCTTTAATTTGGCCTACGACCTTAGTTTTACAGCAAAATTCACAAAAATATTTGAATTAGGGTTTAGAAGCAACAAGGAAGAAAGGGACAACAAGCTAAACAACACTATATACATACACAAAGATATGTATTTGCACCTGATACTGTGTCCCAAGCGGAGAAAAATATGACTGGAGGTGTGTCGCTATGCATTGTAGCACTTATTTTCAATAGGTGTTCCTACTGCAACTAAGCTAAGAAACTGGGCAAATATATTTACCTTTGCCATCCATCACCCTGATGTAGTTTTTATTATATGAATCGCTTACAAGTTTCTCTTCCAAGTTAAAACCTCTGACATCTGCAATTTCCTCCACATCGGACAAATCTTCATTTTCGTCGTACATTCTCCTACAGATGGAGCGCTGTTTATGTAAATAAAGAATATATCTAGATCAAAAATTGAACTTTTGCGTAACAAACCTTTGACTGTAGCTTAAAATGGCTTGCACTTTAAATTCAAAGATAATTCTATTACGGGACATTTTAATCATATTTTACTTTTTTTCTCTCGATGTATTTTATTTGTACATTTACACTGTTATACACTGCAACATGCTGTGCCACTATGAATCTGCGTACAATCAAGATTTAAACGTAGCATATTTCCCCTTTTCCAAAGCTGCAGGTTAAGTTAGAACGCACCTTCACATGCAATACATTTCAATAAATGAAACTTGGAAGGCCCTGCAGTCTTCATGAATAATATAAGTATTGAACATTACACCGCAATTCAACGCTGATGGGTTACATAATTCGTCATTTTCTTATACAGCAGGATACGACGTGCGAAACATCTAAGAGCAACGCTTCCAGAAGGGCATGTTCTTATGTTAAATACAATATTGTGTTGATCGGCGGGTTCTTTGTAATGACTCCCGATTACATTTTCCATTCTATCAAATCCTATGCGCTAAAAACTGTATATAACGTTATGCAACAAAGCGTAGCTTCGCATCACAGCGTGAACCCTATGATACGTAAAATGGTGTTTCTAATACCGAAATGCTTCAGACAATACAGATTTCTCCTACTTTAAGTCCCTCTCCGAGGCTAGCTATAAAAGGATAGGGTAAAGCTACACACCAGTTTGCGTCCAGATTCAGCACACGCCTCCATTTTTGGAGCTCTCGCCACTTTACCAGTTTAGCCCCTCATTGTCTCGAAAATGACACATTTAAAGTTAGAAAACACTTTGCTTTCCGAATCAAAACTAAGTAGGAACCATTTTTGTGTAGTACTGGCTGACGTCACGGCCGAAAGAATCAAAACATTGTTAACAAACGTCATGCGTCATCTTTATTCAGAAGTTGAATCCTACGTTCTTCATATATCCCAAATCGAGGAAACGTGTTTTGACGAATTGTTCCAGCAGAGTCTTTCTAGGATATCACTTAAAGGTTCACAAAAACACTAAAGCTTCGTTTTGGGTCACGAGTCTGCAACATCTTGCACGCACGCGCTGCAGCTGTTATGAGTGAGGAGAGGAGTGATCGTCTGTACGCTTCACTCCTTTTGTCGTTTAACTCGGAACTCTATGAATAGCTTGACAAGTTTGTAAACCTTTAGGATAAAAATGTTGATTTGTTGCGAAATTCCAGTAAATTATTATTATTATTATTATTACTATTATTATTATTTTGCTTGAATGCCATCCCATCCTGGAGTTTCCATGGTTTGTGTCCTGTGATGCCTGTGATAGCCTTCAGTCCCTTTCTAGGACAAGAGGTTGAAAGATGCGTGGATTATTAATGTTACTATTATTGCTGTTATGCAATAAGGTTTGAAATGTACCGCAATCACATTAAAGGTTATTTCTATTACTATTCATCTTTTGCAGTTACGATGCCTTTCATTATTGTATTTTCTAAATACATATGTTCCTGTCCCCGCGACCCATCTTAGGACAAGCGGTTATGGCGGAGAATTAATGAATGAATATGTTCGTGTCCACTCAGAATTATTCCTCGATGTTGTCAACAAAAGTTTAATGATAAAGAGTGAAGTTCGTCGTGGCTTGTAATTTAAGTTCTTGAGTAAGCAATATAATATACTACTACTACCATACTAATAATAATAATAATATCACCCGGGGCTGATACTGATTTCTGCAGTTCACTGTTGATCAAGCTAGGAAATAAAATCCGTGGTGTAAACTGACTTTTGAACTTTAAAATACCACCGAATAAGATACACTAAACACACCATGCACGATGCCGTCGATATTATATAAGATTACGTGACATATAATTGCAGATATATTTCTGTCTCATTAACCACTACAAATGCAATGATAAAATCATTACAAATCGTTACTTCTGAATCACATCTGCCTGCAGTTTATGCTACTAAGATCTTTACTGCATTAAGTGGATACAATGGTCACACCTATAGCCTGTAACCACCATAGACGCAGTGCTGGGACACAGGCTTGGAGTCGATAGAGTGTGCATCGCTCTGCCGCAGTGGCTTGTGGGTAAACACTGGTGCAGTTTCCTGAGAGAAGTGCAGCTTGGTTTTCACCGCCCCATTGTTGCACCGGTAAGAAGTTAATGCTGGGGTGGCTCGCTTTCCGTTACGGCTCTCGGCACAACGGATGAAGCGATCTTAGGCGTACTGGCTGTGGTAAAGGCGACTCGCATGCTTTTTGTTAATTTCTCATTCTAGGGACGAAAGACTGTCCAGTATCGCGGCCAGCCCGGTTGCAAGTGGACAGTTGTTCGGACTGTCTCCGCGATGAGTCTTAACGAGCACTCGCTGCAAGCTCTTTCCTGGAGGAAGCTCTACTTGAGCCGAGCAAAACTGAAAGCGTCCAGCCGAACCTCAGCACTCCTTTCTGGGTTTGCAATGGTAAGTGTAACGGAGTCTTAATCGGTCCGGACCCGGCTACTCACCAACTTCACTTTTTATTTGCGTTCTGCAAAAGTTAAGATGCCAGCTAATTTCTTTTTCCCCAATGCTTTTCTACAGTTTGAGTCGGGTGTAAATGTCCCACAGCTACTTTATACATGCACATCTACATAAGCATCTATAATTCCTTGAACGTTAAAGAAGAAGCCTACAGGTGCTCGCAGTTCTATAGATAATAGAGGGCTCGCGGTGACAACATCAGATGTGTTTGTCACCGTAATTGGTTGACAGCAACCTGGTGTTACTTATATCTTAAAGTGCTTGAACGTACGAAAAGTGAATCTCGGGGGTGTGTCTGCAACTAAGACCAGTACATGTTTTAATTCGATTTGCTGATGCTATGGATGTTTCGTGTGCTTTTGAGCTTTCAAACATTTAGTCCAGAATAGGTAATTTTTTATATACATTTTTTAAGCTTTTGCGTGATACATCAGGAAACAAAATGTCTGGCATGTAAAAGACGTGTAACGAGTGCTTAAGAAAATATCTCTATACCTGCGCGGTGACTGTTGTGTTTTTGCAATATATTTGGCTTGAGTGGGCTTATGCTGATATTTTACACAAACCTACTTAAAGCCTCACAATTTGATGAAGTGTAGGTGGCACCAGATAAAAAATGATTCACCCCCGCCTGTGTTCTTATGTATATTAGTTTAAAAATTATGTTCTCCTGTTTATCTTTAGTATTTATGCGCGTATTGCACTGCGGCTCGGCAGTGATGCATCTGCAGCTGGGTGTCATGCTGCTTCACTTGCATCTGCATTGGGTGGATTGTCTGAATGGATGAACCACATCTGTATTATTTAGTCTCATAAATCCAAACTGCGATAACCGATTAGCGTTTTACAGCATCCAACAAAACACTGCCGAAAGTTAATTTCGGAAACCCCGGTTGTATGTTGTTTGTCTCCAACCTCATTTTTTTGTTTTTATGAAACCCCAAGTCCAGTAAAACGCAGTAAAATATCTTCAGACTCAGGTTATAGTTGGTGTATCTTAAGGTATTGAGCTTTCTAACAGACGTATTGACATCGACAAGATAAATTGTCATCAGTTGGGGATTCTGTCGAAAGAACATCCCCTATTTTAAGGGGGCACGAATCCTGAGAATAAGCAGTTGGCGATTAAGTAGCCAACTTCATCCTCGTGACCGTATTAGAGAAAAATATATCGGTATAGTTCAAAATTTCCGCACCAGTGAATCTGTAGTGAGCCTCGGTGAAAACGGCCAATCAGGTAGCGCTTCCTTTGTGTGTTTTTTTCTGTACCGTTGAGTACATTACCTTAGATGGCCTTTTGGACAATCCGCACTGGCTTAACAACAACATTTTGGTTTTGAGATTCCATCTTCTATGTATTCCATTGATAGTGTGTAATTAAGTTTCCATTATCAATATAATTAAATAATCGAGTAAAATTTGCCGACTGGGTCAAGTGGGTCTGCAGGGGTAATATGTCTAGAGGATGAATTTTACCACTGCTGAGCAGCAGAATGACCGATTTCTAGAATCTATCAGGGGGCTGCTGTCAGTTTGTGGGAGTGATGAAATGTCTGTACAGCTGCTGGGGAGTTTGAATCCATCAATTAAATTACAGTGGGCCAGCTTGTGGAATTGAGGCCTGCCAAGGAGGCCAGAAACCTGACACAGTGTAGCCCATTTGACTCTTCCACTCCAACGTAACATAAGAGGAGGAAAAATGCCCCCTTTATCAGACCAATGGATGTGGAGAAAGACCCCAAAACTCAAAGAACCAGAAGGTGACCTAGTCCAGTAGTGGATAACAGGGTTTTGTTTAGTATATCATATTAGTGCCTGAGTTGGTGATCGGTTGCCATGGTAACACAAGAACACCCCCCCCAACCTCTCAGGTGCTCTTATAGGTTTGCAAAACTAATTCCTATTTTTTAAATTAAAGCTGACAGTTGGAACTAGAGGTGTAAGAAAATATCGATACGCTTGAGTATCGTGATTTCTGCCCGATAACCCATAGGCAATTATTTCAAAAACAGACACCGATACAGATTCCGATTGTTTGGGAGGGACAGTCCATCCAAAAAAACTGAAACATTCTTAGTTTTTTTCTTTATTTCGGGTGCATATCGCTGTATGTTTTATTTTATTATATATCTTACCTCAACTTATCTGTAAGTGCCACTATTTTACAGTTTTATCCTTAACTTTGCATCGATAGGTGTGCTCCAAAAGGTATAAAGGTATCTTATCTTATCTTATCTTACCATATCCGAGATTGGAGGTAGCGTAAGGACGCTCCGCTAACATTAGCATTAGCACACCTAGCTCACTAGTAATTTAACAACCAATGGCTGAATCTAAAAGAGTTGGGCCAGAATTCTACCGAAAGTCACTACACCATGTTGATTGTCTGCACTCTAGTCAAAGCCCGTGATTTCTACCAGAAGCACTACAGTGCTGTTCAGAAGAAGCTCCAAGTGCCGCCTTGCTTTACATACAAGCCCATTCTATTTTGCTGGATGCCGCTTCTGATAGCAATTCAACCTGCCTATCAGGTAGCGCTCTCCTAAATGAAAATCCTCGTGTTTTCCCAGCCGCTCTGCTAAGCTCTCTGCAATAACGTATATTTACTAGAGATGACAGGTAAGTGTCCAGGGTTACATCCTAACGGCTCCATCACTCCCCCCCTCGATGCCTCGCTGTCTGAAGTTGAAAGTTAATGAAGCTGGGGCGGAATGAGTAAGTGAGTGAATAAAGAAGCGTGGACAAAATGTGGTATCTGGACACACTTGAATCCTCATTGACTTACCTTCCTCTGCCTGTATGTATGAAGTCATCACTGAAGTAGAATCTTTTATGCCATTCGTTGGGTGCCACCAAAGGTGGATTTGTCTTCCTCAAAGGGATACCGTCTAGTAGACTACCATACACCCCCTGCGACAGGGTCATTTGAGCAAAAATTGGCCCTCGGTAACTTATTCCATGAGGGATTAGGAAAAGCTTCCAGGGCAAAGGAAAGGTAACGAGGGAGGATGAAGCAAATAATGCTATAAAGTGGTATAAATATATATCATCTCTATATGTTATACATCCATCCATGCATCCATCTTCTGAAACCGCTTGTCCTATTCAGGGTCATGGAGGCTACGGGCGCAAGATGGGGAATAACCCAGGATATGGCGCCAATCCATCGCAGGGCGCACTCTTCCCAAATACGCAGAGTTAAGAATACTACCGCTATATTGCGTGTGACGTACCCAGCACTGGACTCATAGTGGTTAACTATTTCACTAGTAAAACATATTTTAATTGCATTATACACCAGGGCTGGCGCGGGTAGACGACGTAGTCAATGATGTAGACGCTGGAAACGCGTCAGCGTCAATATTTCAAACTGATGGATTGTTTTTTAAAAATTATTTTAACAAAATTACCTTTATGGTTTCTAAAACGGTTCAGTTCATTATAACAATTGTTTTCCTTTAATGTCACTACATAATAATGGGAGTAGTTTAAATTATCACTAAACAGAAAGGTGGCTTTACACCGTGCAAGGTTCTGATGGCAGACCACAGCGGCACTAGCGCTATACACAAGCACCTGAAGAGGAAACACAAGTGCTATTCTGGATGATGGGCCACCAGAACAAGCGAAACCACCGTGTTGTCGATAATAAACACCGTGCTGTTTATTAAATTACCATTAGTACAGAGAGCTTTTTAATATCTTTTGTCCTTGTAGCAGCTAAATATACTTATTATTGAAGCGATAAAGTTGTCTGCCTGCTACCTTAGAATTTAGATTGAATAAGTGTTTGAGAAATCGTTTAGGCTAGAATCTGGGCTTATTCTGTGTTGATTGACTGCCAGCGTGTGTTTGTGTGTGTTGGGTTTATTAGGACCAGTGGTATCGTAAACTAAAACTGAAAATAATTTGTGAGCTGAAATAAAATGAAAACTATATTGACCAAAAACGTGTCAGACTTTAATCAGCACAAAATACCGCTACACCAGCTTCTGTTTTCCTTGTTTGTCCACAATATCTCCTCTTTATGAAAGATGCTGGGGTTGCTGATCTATCCTTTTCTTCACAGTCACTTCAGTGCTTATCGCTTCCATGATTTACCAAAACAGTGGTTTTGGTAACCGAATTTAATAAGCATAAAGATATGCTGAATTTATACCGATTACTAACTATTGGGCATCACGATATGCATCTCAATATTTTAGACATACTACTAATTTGCTTATCAAATTGCGGGTGAACATAATGTCGGTATGGGGCTGAAACGCTGACATCCATTATCTAAAGCCCTGCAATAACGTTGTTGTTGTCAAAATAAAATTAGCCTAATTTAAACTGTAAATCTGATTTTCTGGAAGAAAATTAATCATTTAGATTAATTGACTAATCGGTAAAAAGTGTGTAGATTAATCCATAGCAAAATAGTCATTAGTGGCAGCCCTATTATACACGCAATCATAGCTGTCATGTCAGCTATACTATGGCGTGGCATATATTAAAAATTCATACCATATGGGAAATTATCACCAGTATACCGGATGAATGGGTATACCGCCCAGCGCTGTTCCAAGGAGGCAAAATGTATGTTTGCAATGGAATATTGCCCAGCTGTCAATACAGAAATATACAGTGATCAGTAAACACACTAACTTGTGGAAGATTATATCACTGTAGCAGGATCCATTCCTGTTTCTGCAGCTGCACGGTGTGGAGGTTAACTAAATATGCGTCATTGGCGCTCTGCTTCGGAAACGTTTCCGAACTGCTTCCGACAGGTTGAGGATGTGTAGAGGACAGAGCAAAACCTTGTCGCAACTTGAACGCAGCTCAACCGCTCTGGGTGGAATTCTGGTGTTAGATTGGCTCCCAGGCATACAGAGCTTAAGCGTGGGTTCATTTTGGTTCAACAAAGAAGGCACTAAGGAGATTGACAAGAACCATGTCGTTTGCAAAATTGTGTCATGTATCCTGCAAGCACATTTATTTGATTTAATTTTATTTATTTATTTTACTGATATGCAAATGTTTATTCCTTTGCTCAAACTGCACATAAAGTAGTGCTATGATGTTATAGAGACTGTGATAAATACTAATGCAGGTCCCACTGTTTTGACTAGATTAAGAAAGTTTTTTTTTTTCTTTGCTCAGTTTTTACGTTGTGTTCTCTATGCTATGACACTTCTCCTAAAATTAGATTTTTAAAAAAATCGCAATATATGGCCTAGCTTACAATATTGCATTTTATTGAATTGTAACCCCTGTATCATGATAGTTACCTTATCACCAGATTCTTGCCGATACCCAGCCCTATTCAGCACTTTGTGTATATATTGTTTTATTTCAAATCTGTTGTGATTGTGCACAGAACCAAAAATAGTGTCACTTAGGGCGACCACCTAATCCATGGCAGGAGGGACACTATGAGCTACTTCAGCTTTTACGAACTACTTTAAAGCTGAAAGGGTTCTGTGCTCTGCTAAAATGTTTGGTTAGTTCCTAGATTGAAAGACTCATCCAGTTGTTTCGCATTAACATTACAGACACATATGCATGATTATAGGAGACTGACCAATCAGCATACGGCAAGAACCCAGTGCTTAAGTGAAATCCTGGTACTTTTAATTGAAATGTGTTTACAAATCCTGTTGTAGCTCATAGTGTCCCTCCTGACATGGATTAGGTGGTCACCCTAGTGTCACTATAAATATTTATGGTCTGCATTATGTGTGATACTGGGCCACGTGTTCTGTTTCTGTGTGCCGTTTCCCCTGGATGTTCAGGTAGCCATGGTGGAGGTTCAGTTGGAACCCGAGAGCTACCCCCCAGGGCTCCTGATCGCCTTCAGCGCCTGCACCACCGTTCTGGTGGCCATCCACCTCTTCGCCCTGATGGTGAGCACGTGCATCTTGCCCAACATCGAGGCCGTCAGCAACGTGCACAACCTGAACTCGGTGAAGGAGTCGCCTCACGAGCGCATGCACCGTCACATCGAGCTGGCCTGGGCCTTCTCCACCGTCATCGGCACGCTGCTCTTCCTGGCTGAGGTGGTGCTGCTCTGCTGGGTCAAATTCATGCCCGTCAGACCACACTCCAATGTGGACAACAGCACCATGAGTGAGGGCATGGCGGCTGCCATCACCTCCACCTCCATCATGGTGCCCTTCGCCCTGGTCTTCATCGTGTTCGCTGTGCGCTTCTACCGCTCCCTCGTCAGCCACAAGACGGACCGGCAGTTCCAGGAGCTGGAGGAGCTGTCCAATATAACCCGACTCCAGAACGAGCTGGACCACAGGGGGGATGCTGTCCTACAGCCACCCAGCTCTCATTTCCCGTAGAGAAGAGGACTCTGCACCTCTTAATACTCCTATAGTTTCAAAGGGATTTTCTGGTTTATATTCTATTTATTTAATTTATTTATTTTTTTGCATGTAAACATTTTATAAGATTGTCGGTTAATAGTTGTCCCCTTTTGAATTGTACTGTAAACTCTGCTGCTGTGTTGAGATTTTACTTAGAGATTTCTAAGAATTTATGCTGTTTTAATGCATGCTGTAGAAATCGATGGAGTTATTATTTTTTTGTAAAATTTCGACACACTCTAGATTTTATGAGTGCAGGAGACTGATTAATGGAAGAGAACTTTAGGTCTTATCGTAGGTTCCACTGTAAAACTTTTAGATTTTTAAATATAAAATATGGGGTGTATTTTCGGTATATAACAGTATTTAAAGAGAATTTAATAGTGAGAGTTTAATTTGAAACAAATTTTTAGTCTGTGTTTACAGTTTGGGACAGATAAATGTGAATGGGGGCTGTAGCTTCGTCATGGGACTGCAAGCCGTGGGTAAACATTCAAACTGTGATGCCAATGTCATTCATGTCATTCATATTTAAACAGACTGTTAAAACAAACCAAGTTGCCTAATGCAGTGTTTCTCCTTCTGGTTGGCAGAGACCCTCAGGCACTCTGCGTTTTTGCTCCCGGGAGGGAGCTGGGTGGAAGCGAAAACATGGATTGTCTGGAGGGCCCGCGCACCAGGTTGAGAAACACTGCCCTAATGAATAGCGCTCAGTTTATCAATAACTGGTTAATGTAGTAATGTCTCAACTAAACATGCTTAACGTTTACCTGTCATCAGCTAATATTGGAATGTATATTAACTGATGGTAATGGTGTTTATTTTTTTGCAGAGGTATTGGGTTCATTTTGTGTGAATCTCGAAGGAGATTGAATGCCACAGTTTTGTGCCAATGGGTGCAGCTCTGTAGCGATGGCATTGCCCTGTTAATCACTGCCTGCTTTAACCCAATGAGAATTCAGTGGCTGACTGTGCATGATGGACCATGGTCCTCATGCGTTTCCGAGCCCCGATTCTCCCAGAACTGCAGCTCCTACACGCAGGGGCGCCGCCAGAAATCTTGGGCCCCATGAAAGATTAGAATTTTGCCCCCCCCCCCCTTTTTGCGAAAAGGTAAAGCCCCTAACAGGGCCCCATGTCAGTGCTGGGCCCCTAGAATCGTTCTAACCTTTCCTCCCCTGGCGGCGCCCCTGCCTACACGTACCCTGTGCACAGGACCGTTCAAGCCCGCCCGACAGCCCAGGGCTTTCTGACTGGAATTCCTCTGCTTGCCTGAACTGAGAACGGCTATAAATGTCTGTTTATAACAATGAGGAGAGATTGGTTGGCGCTGGGCTCATACACACATGGACGTTTTGAGGTGGACAGTTAATTGGGTGCCTCAGCCAGTTAATTGGGTGCCTCAGCCAGTTAATTGGGTGCCTCAGCCAGTTAATTGGGTGCCTCAGCCAGTTGCGTTACAGAGCACAGTCATGCTGGACTTTTCATCTCTACGTCATGCCACAATGCAGAAGATGTTTCCCCACTGTAGTGTGGGCGTAGTGTTACTGCACAGTGCCACCTCGGCACTTAGCGATTCCTGCTGGGGGTATTTGATGGCCCAGTGGTCATCCACCATTTCTCTGAGTGCTCATCTTGTCAAAGCTCTGCCCCTCTTTCTTATGGGAATGTACATTATGATGTTAACTTAAAAAAAATGTTTGCTTGATTATATGTAACCAGCTTGCTCATGATCTTATTGATATTTTTGTGCCACAGGTTAATTTATAAACTGGTTCAAGGCTGTTTTATGTATAAAAAACAAATCAGTAAAATATACTTTTCATACCATATACTGTAGTTGTTTGTGATTTCTTACAGGACTGTTCTTGCCAGTTTTTACCAGAGCCATTTTAGAAATTATATTTTAATGGTTTTAATGAGGTCATATCTCAGGGCAGCTTAATGTGTAGCACTGCAGCCACAAATCCTGCCTCTGGCTCTGCACGTGTGTGAAGTTTGTTTACTCTCTCCATATGGTTTTTCCCCCTCAGGCCAAATTCAGTTGCGCCGTTAATCGACATGTCTAAATTTACCCATAAGCATATGATTCTGTGTTTCAGTGTGTGTGCCATAATACATGCTCCAGGCCCTTTCTGCAACTTAAGTGAGATAGTGTCTCTAAATTGCCCCCTGCTTGTGAGGCGTGTATGTGTGTGCACCCTACAATGGAATAGCATCCTGTCCAGAGTGTCCCCCTACCCTGTGCTTTGGACTTCCTGGGATGTTCTACTGGATGGAAGTGTACCAAGAGTAACAAGTCGAAATAAATATCTCCAGGAATGGAAACAAAAAGTGCCTGTGAGTTGAATATTTGCATGTGTAATAATCAGATCAATAACCAAAAACCACTACTGGATGCCAAGCTTTTATTTGTATATTAACAAATATATCTCGACCATCATTTTTAACCAGTCTGGACTGTCAGCAAAATGCAACAGAAGCTCCTTGAGGTGGGATTATCTGTCAGATATAATAAGGGATTTATTTCTGATCCCAGCTGAAGTTACTGTTTATTATAAGCTTCTAAAAAAGGTGTTTTAAGGCTGGGCTTTAACTCAAAAGGCATCCTTTTTCTGTGGGTGATTTTATTTGTTTTTATTTAACATCATGCATTATGTTTGTCTTCAACATAAGTGATTATAAATTACAACGCAGGATAAAACTGCAATTGTTGCATTGGCAGTGAGGTTTTCAGTTTCCATATTTCATTGTTTGGATGCGTAGCAGGTAATTATCGCGGTGGGGGCCATGTAAATAACTGTGAACTTCCTGTTTTTATGACGCACCAGCCAACTCTAGGGTTATCACAGTGAAAGCATTTCCCCTGCAGTGATTCAAGGTGGCGAAATATCACAATATATGGTGATTATACGTTACAAAGAGACACGCAAGCATCAGGCAAGGACCGAGTACAAACAGGTACAGGCACGTGACAACCAAGTCCACAGAACATTCATATACAACAAGACATACACAGGGCCTGTTCGCCGACACTACAATATTTCAACATGGACACCAATTGAAATATGCACTTCTAGTTTGTTTACATGCATAACGAAGCATCGACACCTACAAAGGATTATATCTTTGAAATCACCATGCTAGGCTAAGCAAAATGCTTTTAATGCCAAAACAAACCACAGATCACAAATCCTCTTGGGCAGAAACTTTAGTTTGCGTATTTCTATCCATCGGCTTATATGTAACAAGTTTAGAAATAAGTTTGTGTC